AGGAGCCAAAAGTTGAGGAGACACCAGTGACGACGAAAGAGAGCCACAAAGAAACGAACCTCGTTGGTGAACAGAAACCTCCACAGCCTGAGTGGCCTCCTGCTGCAGGGGGTGGCGAGCCGGGCAACTATGACCCCGAAGATGCAGCAGCACCTACCGCAGATGACCCTGGTGTTGCTGCACATGAAGCAACACGGGAAGAAGAAGCTGAAGCACCAGCACAAACAGAAGCAGTGAAGCAGAAGACCGCCGACGCTTCTACAGCGTTAAAAGCGGCTTTGGATGAGTTTTCGCAAAATGCTGAGAAGGCTGGAGCAGATGTGCAACTGGACTTTTGCCGCCGGTATATCCCTGGATTTACAGGTGCATATCATTTGAGTGCTGTGGCCTACGCCCAGTCCCTTGTAGATGTAGCACTTCAACAGGATCCAAAAGAGTCTGCTAGTCTTCGTGAAAAAACAACGCACTTGGTGAGGATAGCTTTTGCAGCTTCACTGTTGGAGGCAATGAACATGCGTATGAAAGAACTAAAAGCAAATAAGGAACGGTTTATGGAATCTGCTGACGCGAAAGCGCATTCGCGAAGGGCCTCGACAGGCTCTACACTTTCGAGGGACGCTGTAGAAGAACCAGCTGTGGACTTCACGCCTGTGAAATTCTCCTACTTTTTAAAGAAATTCAATAAACATCTGGGCGGCATCTCGGATGCTGTAAAACGGGCTGACAAGAGAGAAAAAGAGGCAGGAATGACAACGATTCAAGGGGATGTCACAAAGTATCAAGCAGAGTGTCTCGTGGAGTTTCTAGCTGGCTCTATCATACAGATCTTGGGTGACCGAAAAGTTCCAGACAAGATGGCCCAGAACTTCAGTCGATTAGTAGGTGATCTGGGGGAATTTTGCGATCAAAATAAGGGCATGCCTCACCAGCATTCATGGACTAATTATCTTTCCAGGTTTGAATGCCCGGCGAGCGTGATTGAGAAGGCTGACCAGCGGTTTAGCAACCTTGGAATCTTTGGGGCACTCACCGATTTTCTCTCCCACACTTCCCAAGCTCTAGTTAAAAGGAGAACAGCTGCTCACCACGACCCAAAGTATTTAGAGCATATAGACAAACACTGGAACGTCGCCCAGTTGCAGAAGCTCGCAGAAGAAATCATAGATGCTGACCGGCAAGGCAAGGAGAAAGCTCACCAGCATAAACAGGCTATACTGGAAGCTGCAGGAGACCTCTCGGAATTCGAAGATGCTCCAGCAGGCGATGTTGACGTGCTGCTTTTAAAGGCGGGAATTGCTTTACTTTGAAATGTCAGGTTCATCAGTGGCTTAATGTGACTGTGCTTTTCCCGCTGGCAGGCCGTTCTCTACGTAATGGGCATGCTTGATCTCAGTCTCTGGCTCAACTGCTGTTTATGGGGCCTCCCTGCGCTT